TCTCTCTCTCTCTCTATCTGTCTATCTCAAACACACACAAACACAGTCCACACTTTTCTCAGTTTATCTTGTTTTCCCCTCAAAACTGTATATCATTGCCCTGTCCTTTCACTAGAGGGCGCCGTGAGACCAGTTCCACCGTAATAACTGTTTCCAGCTCTGTAATTTCCCTCAGGGTAGTCTTTGTAGTTTTCAGTCACTCAGGTCATGTGATACAGTGAAAAACAAGAGCGATTGGGTTTTCCTTGTGAGATCTGCTGAAAGATGAGGGCTTTGTCGGGGCAGCAGATGCACACCCTCATGTGAGAGTCCATCCATCAGTGTCAAACTGAAACATCCCTGAGCAGTCAGAGCAGGAGGGCTCAGTGTTAACTTTGTCTACAATACTGTAACAGAAATGTTTCCCCGGGCTGGTTCAGATGACTCTCATGTGACCCCTAAAACTCTCACATGAAAGTGTGTCCCTATCACACATGATCCCTTAATGTTTTTTACCTTAAAACACCCGCTAATAATGTTGAAATTAAGGTGTTTTTCGTGGGATTTTTAAGGGGATAATTAAAAAATTTATTAATAGATTGTAATATATTTGAAGAGGGCCTTCATTAATCAGTTAAGGTGAAAATTCAGAGATGATTTTCATGACTTTAGGTCAGTTCTTTCAAACACAGAGGCACACTGATGTACCATGAGGCAAGCCCAGGTGTGCTGTGGGCTTTTGTGACCATGCAATATGCAGCTATATAATGTATATTCTCTTATTATTATTATTCTCTTATTCTCTTATAAGTCTTCTTATTTACAGTAAATATGAATTTGTTCTTAATGACTTAACTGAAAAATATATAGTTTTGTGGTCCCCCATAACTCCTTAAATATGCATTGTGCATATAATGAACTCAAAATACCATAACATTTTACAGTTCATTGATTTGCCCATTTGATGCATAGATACCCGAATACTGATATAATTTAATATAAATCCCTTAAAATATCATTAATTTTCACCTGATAACATTTCAGACCTTCGTGTAAACAGAAATCACAATATTCCGAAATGCTTGTCAACCCAAACCTTTACTACAACTGACAAAGCCTCTGTAGACTACAGTACACATTAAGATCATTCTGCTTTGGTTTTACTCCCTCCAGGTCGCTCTGCACACTTGGCCAGACGCCCCAACAGCATTACCTAATACATAACCTAACAGCACGGCCTTTCGACTCTAATTAAACAACACTAGCAGTTGGTGCTCCAGTGGTCTATCCCAAGCAGTGCTGTTTATCTTACAGTTCAAAGCGTTGAGGGAACTAACAGCTTGCACTAATGAGGAAGTTGATCTTAATCTGACCAGAACGCTCACCTCTGATATCAAGGAATTACAACTTTTACAATATTTACTTTTATTGGCCATAAACACAGCAACATTTCTGAACTCAGTACTCTCCAGGCTGAGTTTAAGCCTATGTTGTACACAAACCTCAAACTAGACAGGCTTTGTGGTAAGAAAGAGTTTTCTTGGCAGTGGAGCAAAATTTCTGTGTACAATAAGGAGTCCCACTTAAAACTCAGTGGCTGCAGTGGTGAGATAGTGCTTTTCTTTTCTTAAGGGGAACTAACATTGTAAGCAACGGTAAGGTCATGATGGAGTAATGAAGCGTTCCCAGTAACGGCTCAGTATAATGCACCACTTTTTAGAGACTACATTGTACTGTTATTAATTGTGGGGCATTTAGCATTTAGCACCTCATTTAGAGTAAATAAGGAATGATTCATGAAGAAAGTGGTCAGAATGTAGATTCATAAGATCATTTGACACTGATTCATTAACATATTATGTAGCAGTCTGCTCTTAAGAATTTATCCTTATTTATTTGTTATATAATCCTTCATTCAGATACATTCAGGAACTACTTGTCCAACATGTCATCATTATCTATCTTACTATCATTATCTAACTTTTCTTGGTGAATATTCAGGACTTTCTGTATTTTATTTTGTCACCCCTGTTATTGTTATGTCTGCTGCATGTCCTTGAAGAAATGCCTCTTTGTCTGGTTTAATTGCGTTGATCTAGTTTCTCTGTACTGTTTTGCCCCTGACCCAGCTATACTTGTTAATTCCTGCAAGTTCAAAGTCACTATACAGCCTACACAAGGCTATAGTGGTGGAGGAAGTGTGACAGTATTGCATCACCTGCCTACTTGCATGAGTAGTTGCTAATCTTTGTCTATCTGTGTCTGTAGCACGTGTGGAGCGAGAGCGAGGACTGCCTTCCCTTCCTACAGCTGGCCCAGGACTACATCTCCTCCTGTGGGAAGAAGACTCTGCTGGAGGTGCTAGAGAAGGTCTTCACGTCCTTCAGGCCTGTAAGGAAACCAACGAGTGATGCTCTGGGGAGTCACTGTTTTCTTTTTAACACTGAGCATCAACCACAGTTCAGTGGCCTGTGCTTGCTGTGTCTGGGTCTACCACAACCCTGATACATTCTGTTCTCTCTGGTGCTGACAACATGTTGAACTCCACCCTGGATTCTGACATTTTTATGTTGCCTTGCTTATCTGCAAATGATACAAATGCAGAATAACGATGATTCCAGGCCTTTTATGAATTCCTAGAATATTCTTGTCTATTTAACATGTGAGAGTAGTTTTATTTTCATGAATTACACTTTCTTCTTCAAGCTTTTATGGTGAATATACAAGAACAAACAATACTTTAAGATGTTTTTTAAAAATTAAAATAGGTGCTACTTGGTGTAGATTATATGAAAATCAATCCCTTTTTTTCACACAGAAATTCTATGAATATAACCATTAATAATGATGTAATTAAGGTTTTTTTAATGGCATTTTAAGGGGATAATTAATTAGGCAAGAAATGACATGTTATATGCAATGTGTTTATATTGTGTGTTATCAGCATGGTTTAAAAGCTTTTTAAGGGAAAAACACTCAAGAATGGACCAAATTACTTCTAAGCCATTACTTAATTTACAACTTGAGAGAGCCTTCGTTTTTTAATTAACTTGAAAATTCAGGCTTTTCAGCTATTTGGTCAAAATCATGTCCATTCAGCATGCTTAATGTATTAGAATCCATTAATTTATCCAATAATTAACCATAAAAATGGCAAATTAATTAGAAAATTACCATAAAAAGACCTTCCTTCTAAAAATAATTTCATCCAAATGCATTATTCCAAATCTGGGGTCCACATATTAGCTTAGCTGAGCATAAAGACTGGAAACAAAGGGAAACAGCCCTGTACAACCTCTAACACAACCTTCTTTTTCTCCCCCTCTCAGCTGCTGGGCCTTCCAGACATAGAAGACGACAGTTTTGAGCACTACCACGCTGATATGGAGGGGGAACCAGGGCCAGACCACCAGCAGATGGGGGTCAGCCAGCAGTGATAAGCCCCAAGATGAGGCCTGCAGCTGGGGCAAAGCTGCTCTGAAGTTCTGGGCCTCAACTCATCCGCCCAAACACTTAACAACACATTCTTATCCAAACACACCCACCCACACAAAACACAAACACAAACACACACACACATACTTACAGTCGACTTGCTAAAAATGCACCACCATGTTCTTGAATGTCTCAGTGGCTTTGCTTCCCAAAGAGTGCACTCTGTTGCACTGTGTTGACCCCTCCTAACCAGACACACACACACACACATTGGGGCTACTGTACGTGTGCTGTAGCCATGTACAATTCAAGTATCATAATCATTCACCATCTGGTTAGTTAAAGTTCCACAGCACAGCAATATTACATCAGCCTCAGCTGGCTTTGTTATGCGGCAGAAATACTGTCCAGATGTTACCGCAATTACACCCATGTTTCCCCCCCGTTGGTTTGGAAGAAGATAGTGACAGATAACCTACTTTCTCCTGGGCCTGTCTGCTGACATCAAGAGCTAGATGAAAGATAAATGGGTGAAAACTGACGGTTTGTGGCCTTGTGAGGCAACTGGAGTGATGCAGATAAAGAGAGGGAAGGAAGGAGGGAAAAACGGTACCATTTTACGCTTTGTGGAGGGAAAGAAGGAGGGAAGTGAGGATGTATAGTTCTGACGTAGATTCAGGTGGGGCAGCTCTCAAACTTTCCTGTTTTAAACACATACTTCAAATAGTCGTATAGGTTTTAATCGAAAGCATTTCACACATCGGCTCCTCATGTGGAAATCAAAAGTGTGCAGCTTCACAGTAGCATGGATTGTTTCTTGAGGTGTGTCTCTTAGTGTTTCCAAGGCAGTGCACCTCAAAGAGTTTAAAGTCACTTTATGAGGACGTTTTTAATCAATGTTACTATCATGTGACCATCACAACAAAGGCCCATGCTGCAGCTTAAGCTCTTCCCGGTTTGGGTGTCTCATTGTCACATGACACTCATTAGTTCTTCTGTCCTGTAGTCTTCCTTCTTGGTTGTTGATGGTTCACAGTTTGCCCCAGTCCGATGATAATACTTCCTGACCCTAGCCAAAAACCTCTTTTTCCGTGTGTTGTTTTTCAATTAATGATCGGCTTCTTACGAGGTTTCTCTTAACCATAAATTGAATAAATGCACACCCAAATCCCTGAGTGATATCACAGGGAAGAGAAAAATATTTGTTGACAGCCACCCTCTGCCTACCCTGTTATCTCACAGTGTGTTGTTGTATGTCACATCCAGTGCACTGCAATGCTTCAGGCCGCCGCCCTCGACCACTCCATCCACATGCAAGACTGTTGCAGAGGTTCATCTTTAGCCCGTTTACTTTGGCTTGTAAATGTTCGTCTTTTTATTGCCTATTTGAATGTTTCTCATGCAGTGTATCTTCTGTTTGTCCTCCAATGTGTGTAAAATTGTTCAATAAACCGTGTGAACAGAGCGTTCCACAGCCCTATTTCTGTTTTTCTTCTGAATGGCCTGAAGTTAATGGAACACAATGCACCTAACATGGAGGGCTTTTCATATCACAGAGTTGACTGGTGACCTGCTGCTGTGCCTGCCAACAGCCCGCTGGTGTTACTGGGGCTGACGTCACGCGCCTCCTGACACGCCCACTCAGAGCTTTGTCAGGCTGCAGGGAACTACACACAGGAAGCTATGACTTAGCCTTCAAAGTAAAAGCACAAAAGCTGTCAGGTTTTCAGTGGTTGCTTGTTCTCATTAGTGGACAACCAAACTGTAAACCTTGGAACATTTGAATCTATAGTTTAGCTTTAAAAACACATACACATAAATATATACACATTTGTGAATTGCGTGAGAGGCAAGGCATTTATACTATATTGAATTTGGATGAACTGACTTCTCTCAATACACACCACCAATTTCAACCAATTACATTTGCTTATAAGCACTTAAGGAAAGTGATATCACAGAGAAGATAAAAAATATTTGTTGACAGCCACCCTCTGCCTACCCTGTTATCTCTAATCTCACAGTGTGTTGTTGTATGTCACATCCAGTGCACTGGATTAAGGAAAGTGCTTATAGGCACTCATCCAATTAAACATTTGACCCAAGTGACAGAGTAAAACAGCAGAATGATTAAATTATAAGGGGAATAACATGGCAATAAATGTAACTTGTAGACTTTTGATACATTAAATGTCACTCAAAGTGCTCATCAAATTGCATATATTTAAAACAACCAAACATATGGCAACTAAAAATCATAAATTATATACATCTATGGCTCAGTTGTGTTCAGATCATTTACTTCAGTAAAAGTAAAAGTACTCAGTGTTGAGTACACATTCATTGTTGTCAGTCATGGAATGTGTACATTTACTCAAGTACTGAACTTCTGAACACATTCAATGTACTTTTTCTTTTTTAATACAATTTCCTACTTACACTCTACAGCATTTAGCAGGAAATATTGTATTTTGTACTTCACTACAATTCTGGGACAGCTTACTTTACAAATTAAGGATGCAAATACTTAAAAAAAAACATGAAGAGCTTATACAATGAATTGTAGTGGAGTAAAAATAAAAAGTATTGGAATTGGAAGTGGAATTGTACTTAAATACAGTACTTGAGTACAATCATGGAATTACTTGCCACCTGCAAAGGTAGGGAGAGCAACGGGTATAGGCCACAGCATGATATATTTTATATATATCAGCACACGGTATTTAATTATATATCCTGGTAACGTCCAGACAAGTGTGTGTTTGTCGCTTTTACTTTGAAGGCGAATTCATTTTATCCTGGTGAATTTTGGGTAGTTTGAAAGAGCTGCCTCACAGAGGGGAGGAGGGCAATCTCTGCTTTTATTTTTCTTTCCAGACGGCCACAGTTGAGCACAAAAACAAACTTGAACCAGATGGGCTGTGGGGTCAACACTTGCGCTAACGTGCTCGTCTGAAGCGGAGGGACTGAAGACTTACAACTGAAGAGATTTTACCTTTTTCTTTTTCCATTGTTGAAAAAAAGGGAAGGGCTCTGCCAAGAAAAAAAAAACAACCATTTGGAAATTAAGTTATGCGTCAGTGAGTGCGCACTTTACGCACAGGGCGCACCATGAAACTTTAAGATGTTGAATCGCCTTGCCTTTATTGTTGTTCACGTGTCAGGCTTTGTTTCCTTTGTTAGTGTCAGTTCCTCAGAACTCACTGTAACCATGTGTCGTGGCTAAAAACTTTAACACACAACACACAAAACCTGAGAAGGTAAGCCCGAGGCAGCATGGGGGCCAAACAGAGCAGCCCGGTATTTGATGGCAGAACTCGGGCTTATTCCAGCTCCGATCTCCCGTCTGGAAACTCCAGCGGAGAGGAAAGGATTGCGGGGTTTAGGTACACCAATGGACCAGATGGCCCCCGGATCAGGTACACTGGTGGTGGGCCAACCAGCTCCGGGCGCAGTATACCGGCCGGCGGCAGGTCAGGGTCACACGTACTCAATCAGAGCCTCGATGGCACGGATGGTGACGGCGAAGGACAGCTGCCTCCTGAGGGCCACAGGCTGCTTATAGGGTCCCTACCGGCTCACCTGTCCCCTCACCTGCTGGGAGGTAAGATTGTAACGCATGGACCACTGCAGATTGATAACAGCTGCTCCATAAAACATCTAGACATGGTTAATAACATAACATCGTATTGTTCCTGAAGTACACTTGTGTTACTCAGTAGAGAGTAGAGACACTGTGGTGCATTATGCTATTTTAATTCTTTATTATTATTATTATTATTTTGTAATTTTCATAGTGTGTTTGCTATGTTTAGAGCATTGTTCTTTATCTTACCTAAGGGGCATTTCTTTAATCTCATCTGGCATAACTGTAATATTTCTGGTCTTCACACTGTGTTTATGATACAGTGTGAGCTTAGAGTCAACATGTTGGTTCATGCAGGATACCATATGTTCACCACAGTCCTACAAGATATGATAAGCTGTATACATTACAGTTGCTGTCAAAGTTGCTTAGTATTTTTCCATTTGACATGTGATACCTGGCACATGGTAATAGCAGTGTGGTGACTGAGCCCTTTGTTTAGCACTTCTGCTCTTTTATTTTAGCCACAGGTGGCTCTACAGTACTGCAGCGCCGTCTGCTTTTTTTGTGCCTCTCCTCTGTCTTGCAAAACTGGCTTGTTTTTCACTCCGGCTGAGAGGGAAGAGTGCATTATGTAGGCCAGCAGATAAGAGCTTCCTGCCGGTTACACATTGCCTGACACGCACATACACACACACGCACACATTATGCACACAAACTTCCTGAATCCGCAAATCTAGCTGCTTCTCAACTGGTGGCTTGTCTCCAGACCTGTCCACAAGGAAACAGGACTCAAACTAATATAACAGGACTTTTATGGTGCTCTAACGTCTGTGTCACTGGAAAAGAAAAGCTCCTCCATAGAAAATCAAACATTTTATAGCGTTTCCTGAATTGCTGCTGGAGTTGTTGTAAATGACACATGCTCCAAGTTCCTAATCTTTCATAACGTGGTCAATAAAAAAGAATTTTGGCCTCCCCTCCTACTAATTACTGGCATAGACAAGGAAGACTAATCATTAATAACCATCAATAGCCTTTGTTCATCAGGTCTATGTGATTGTGACCCTGCAGGCCTCCACAGGTTTTTTTCCATCTCCTTCACCTCCTTTTCAAGCAAATAACACAAACATGAAGTTCACACCAGACACAAAGATAATTAAGGCCTGCACATATGATGCTTTTGTAGTCCTTTTCTTGCCTGAGGTGTTAATAATGTTAAACAGGAGGTTAGCTTATCTCCGGCCGAGCAGCACCTGGCCTATTAATCTTTGTGCAGCGGAGAAGATTCACTGGGTATGTGGGTTACATTATGAATTCATAAATTACTTATTTAATTCACACATGCAGTGCAATAAATATTAAGGCCTCCTGTCTTGAGGATGTGTTTGCAGTTAGTTTGTAATGAGCAACCGATAGATCAGCTGAGCAGATTGTAACAGATTGTTTACAGCAGACAGAGAGCGAGCAAGTGCATGCAGGGTTAGGTCAAGTAGGACTGTGTAAGATCAACTCATGCACACTGTCCCACGCCCTTTGTTGTGTACATGTCAATAAAAAGGTATGAGGCAGTCGTTTGCACATCTGGGTGCTCATGTTCTTGTCTTTGTGTTTTCCTTCCAGGCTTCCACTGCCCTGTTTGCTCCAAGTTTATGGCATCGGATGAAATAGAGAAGCACCTGCTCATGTGTTTCAGCAAAATGCGCCTCACCTACAACAGTAAGGACTCAGGGGTGAAAGTACAAGAGGGCATGGGACATTTTTAAGTTATAGGATTTGGTATTTGGTACATCAGTTATTTCTCAGTTTTACATGTTCATTTTGGTTCAAAGAAACATGTGAAACTAAACAACGACAGTTGCCAATGCGGGTGCATCAGATGGCAGAGACCAGACAACAAATATCCAGTATTCAGATAATTTACTAAAATAAAAGTTGCAGTACCACTATGTGATAATATTTAATTAATATTAAATTTAATTAATTTATTTAATTAAGTACAAATAATGCATAAAACAACTTTATATGTTGTTATGTCATTAAATATTACACAGCTCCCAACCTTTTTTGCTTGTGACCCCTTAAAACAAATCAGTGCAACCCTTCGACACAGGTTATGCTTTAGTGTGGACTTGAACAGTCCCAAGAGTCATTTGTATGTATTTTAATGGTGTAAGTGGTTGACATGGACCCATTTTAATGACTTTACTTACTGTTGGGTAGTTCAATCAATAATAATGGATCATATTTTTTAAGATTATTATAGGTTTTGTATGCGAAATCTTAATCTGCAAGGTAATTAACTATTAACTATAGCTGTCAAATACATGTAATGCAGTATTATTCTTTGCAAACATAGAAGAAGTAGTAGTACCACAAAACTATACTTAAATGCAGTACAAAAATGTACATATTTACATTCCACCAGTTCCTCTGCCATCAGTTCCTCAGTCAAAATTGTATGCCATATTTTTTCTACAACTGGATCATGAGGATGCTAATGAAAGAGTTCTTGCATGAAATTATTTTTCATTTATTATAAGATAGACAAAAGTTTTTTTTTAAAAACTCATTATCAGCAGAAATGCACCTGTACTAGACACCGTACAGCGCAGCATGAAACGATCAAAGCAAATGCAGCTATGTGATGCAACTGCACATTTACACAGCCACCCATATGAGTGCAGACTATCTGTATGTGAGCTTCTCCGTTGTGCGCACACACATACATGAGCACACACAGGAAAAGGCAAACACATATTGTTTGTAGACACACAGGTGTCACTACACACGCTTCCTGCAAGTAAAGACATCCCGAACTAGACAGTGTTGCATGTATGCAAACGAGTAGATTACTCCTCATGTTTTATAGTTGATGCATGTGCGGAGACATGCACACACACACAGTTTCCAGCTGGCACACGCCCATAGCAGCATACATGTTACTGATAAATACACAGCACATATGCAACTCATAGACTGCACATTGTGTCTTAGCTTATCACAGGCGTACAGATGTGTAAAACCTATACAATCATCGCTTTATTATTTATCTAACTTATGCAAATATTTTCAGAGTACATTTGAATGATTCTGTCTTTCTTCTCCTGCAGGATTCAGTTTAATATGTGCGCATGAAAAGCTACAAACAGTCTTAGTTACTCCTTCGCCTCAGGTATTGACACTAGGGCCTGAATATGCAGATACAAATAATGTGACATAAGAGGAATATGCATCATTATCTTATCTCAGGCTCATTAGACTCAATTTTCTCCCTGTTATTAAAAGATTATCATCAAACTATTATACAAATAAAATTATAAAAAAAACTAAAACTACGTTCTACAAAACACAACCTGTTCCCACTGGAGATTTACCCACTTTGCACACTGTAGAGGAATACCAGTTCCCATCTGGGCACAGATGACTACAGGTACCGAAGGTTAAACAGATGGTTATGCAGGATTCAGTGACTGAATTGCACATCTGATGCATGATTCGGTGTGAGGCGGCTCTTTTCTCAGTTTGTCTGTCCATATTGTCTTTCTCAGAGGACATCCTGTCCAGAGACTCTGGGGAATGTGCCATCTGTTTAGAAGAGCTGGAGCAGGGAGACACCATTGCCAGGCTGCCCTGCCTCTGTATCTACCATAAAGGGTAACTAACACACACAAACGCATATAAATACACAGACTGTAGATGGAAATAGTTTGACAAATTCATTAAATGCACCAGGTGAAAAGAGTCACAACTTCCAAAGGGTAACCAGATGTTTTAAAAGAGTTTGACATTTTGAGAAATAAGCTCATTCGCTTTCCTGTCAAAAGTAGATGAGAGGATTGATACCTCTTTCATGTTTATACAGTAAATATGAAGCTACTGCCATCCAGTGGTTAGCTTAGCTTAGCACAAAGACTGAGAACAGGGGTAAACAGCTGCAGTTGCTAGATGTTCACTAGTAATGCCAGAACCCAGTGTGTAAGAGAAATTATAACAAACCAAATCAAACAGGCGACAAACAAACAAAAAAATCTTAGGTAATAGGAAAGTGTTTATTGACCATTTTTAAACTTTGTAGAAAAGATACCTCTGCATAATGTGTGAAATGTGTCTCAAGAGCCAGAACCACTTAAATAAAGGGTGAAAAAAACGTAATTAGTTATTAATTATTTAAATGAACAGTTTGACATTTTGGGAAATATGGCTTTCTTGCTGAGAGTTAGATGATTGATAACACTCTCATGTATTTACGCTACCACCAATATCCAGTAAGTTCAGCTTAGCACAATGACTGAAAACAAGAGGGAAACAGCTAGTTCTGTCACAAAAAAAAGTCACACAATGAACAAAACTGGCTTTAGAGGTGCTAGTAGGCAGGTTTTGTTACCTCTGGACAGATCCAGGCTAGCTGTTTCCCCATTTCCAGTTTTTGGGCTAAGCTAACCTACTGCATCTAGCAGATTGCAACCAGCTCACCTCACCCTCGCCTTTCAAGTGTATAGGAGAAACTACGGTGGCCGAAAAACTTGCAGAAAACATGAAATCTAGAGCCAGTGTTTGGCTCATTCTAAAGTAACAAGAACACGATTCTTATTTTCAGATTATTTATACACTAAAATTAGTTATTATGAATATTAAATTTCATTTCTGCCAATAGATCCTTCTAAATGTTACACACTGGACCTTTAACAGACTCAGAGTGGAGTGAGAGTGGTATTGATCTTCTCATTTAACTCTCAGCATGACCTTCATCAGTTGTATGAACAAACAGTTCCATATGTACACATAGAAGCTAGATAATCCATCCAATCAGAGGGGCATAATAATAAGGTCAGTTGGTGAATGAAACACTTTGAGAAACCAAACACACTGCCATCCAGATAATTAGAGAAAGAGGGTCATCTTTTTGAAAAGATTCCATCTATACCTAATTTATTGAAAAACTAATGAATATTTGTTTTATTGTGATTAGTAGAGCTATTTAATTGAGCTATTTTTTCAGTTTCCTGTCCCATCCTCTTCCTGTTCCAGGTGTATAGACGAGTGGTTTGAGGTGAATCGCTCGTGTCCGGAGCATCCCGCCGATTAGGAGCTGCACGAGTACAGTTTCAGTCTACTGTACCTGCACTTAATCCCAACACTGTCTGTTCCAGCCGAGCATCAACGCTCCTCAGGGATTGTAAGACATTTTTGTATACAGGATTTTTCATATTGCCTCAATATCAATGGACTGTGGAATAAGTTTGTGTAGACGCCGTGGGACGTTCAAAGAACCACTGATGCGTTATTTTGTCTCCAGAAAAATATGTGAATATTCATTATGCCACCTACTGGCCTAAATGGGTTTATACAACCTGGCACCTGAGCTGAACTGTTTTTGCTGAACTGGGTGTGGTTTTATAGCTGAGGACTTGTATAACCAACATAACTGTTCAGAGACTTGATCAGAAGACTGAAGGCTGATTACCTGAGCCATACAGAATTATATCAGCTTTAAGGGATGATTACAATGTTGATGCTAGTTAGGAAATAGATCTTCGTTTTATTGTGAAATTGGCTATCATTGTTTGTTAAACAATCATGTGTCCCAGACCAAATAGTCTAACGTGGAATAATCTGACTTTGTTAATCGCCTGACCATTGAGAACCACAGTAATGTGATTGTGTAGTTTAGTAGTGGAATTAAAGATAGGCTAAGACATATCTAATGATGATTCATGCTCTCTAAGGAGTGCCATAATATGCTGCTATGTCATAGACTGGAAAGTTTTCTTATAACCTTTGAACCTGTGTTCATTGTACTTTCTATTTGTACTGTAATGAATTGCACAACAATAAATGTTTTGTCTTGTCTCTTTCCTGCAAACAGACTAAATATTTTCATGTGAAAGCTTAATTGATGTACTTTATCTATCTGGACGGAAATGAGTCATCCCTGACATGTAATTCATTGTATAAGAGATTCATTTTTATGACTAAGATGGCCGCAGACAAGAGGAAGATGAGGAAGGGAAATGAGCCAATAAGAATGTTTTTTAAAAACATATATTTCAATGTAATGTAAATTATACCACAGACGTATAATTCACTTGGATGTGAAACTTCCCAGAATGGTCCTGAGCAATGGAATCATCTATTAAAGAGTGTACACTATCACTATAACAAAAACAAGACAGCTGAAAGTTTTAACAGCCAAGAGAATGAAGTTTGTCTCTAGAAGTGGGCATGCAGGGACATGGATTAAGTGTTCCTTCTGTTTGTTGCAAAATGAGCAGTCTGACGAAATGTCAGCTCTTAGTTTACTTAAGGTGTTGCAGAGATAATACCTTTGCATTTCTCTGACTATACAGTATTTAGTCATAGAAATGTGTAAATGTCACAGAAGATATTTTCCTCATAGCAAATGGGAAAGACTTCAGGAAAAGACAGCATTTGAAGGACAACTTTTATCATCTGAAATTAACTTCCTCATATTTACCTTATTGCATGTATTAGCCCCACACCAGAGGGGTGTAAAAGAGTTATCTTCACTAAAGGGACTAATTTAGCTAATATATGTGTTTTGTTTTAGCCATTGTATTGATAGTAGAAATGTAGAATTTTAAATATACACTGTACGTACAATAAGTCAAAAACAAACCAGTCCATCTTATATAAAGGCAACCTTGGTTTTGTGAGGTATTTTAAATTGTTCCATAATAGGCTTTGATTCTTGTCAATCCAAGACTCTTTTAACTTTTTTAAATAATGTATATTGAGGGAGTAAAGTATCCCAAAAAAATTCTCCAGTTCATAATAAAATCATAAAAATAATTTAGTGTATAATGTTATATTCACTTAGGACTATTTAATTGTATCTATTTGACTTCTCATTGATTAAGAGTTTGAAATGTCCCCTAACTTTAATGTTTTATCATTCTTCTAATTGATTTTATTTCTAAATGTTTCAGTCACATTAAAAAACAAACAAAATGTCATACATAACACACGTATACACATGACGTAAACACGTCGCGGCTTTGATGACGTCGTACGTACAGCAACGTAACGTAACATTTACGGAAAGGTTCAGCGGGTTTCCGCTTTATTTTGGCGTAACTTAAACTAACTACACTGTTATTTCTCCATATAACGTTAATGCACATCACCTGTATTTAAAGGTAAGCGTATACCAACAAATATTTTCAACTCCTGTTGTGTAAGATTTCATTCTTTTCCCTTGTATCTAGTGTTTTTCTTGACTAACTCCTAGCTGCTAGCTAACTACAGTCCAAGCTCACTAGCGTGCTAACGTCCGCAGGCTAACAGTACCTTCTCTGTAATACACCCACTGCTAACCTACAGGCAGAAATCCGGATTTTACTGGATGTTAATGAAGTTTAACCCCCACTGCCTCTCGGGTTATGAGACACTAATGTAAAGTGTGTGGCGTTTCAGCTTGGGAATCGACCACTTCGCATCAAGATGTCGTACATGCTACCACATCTCCACAATGGCTGGCAGGTCGACCAAGCCATCCTGTCTGAGGAGGACCGGGTCCTCGTGATCCGCTTCGGACACGACTGGGACCCGACATGCATGAAAATGGACGAAGTTCTCTACAGCATCGCTGAAAAGGTTTGTGTCTGATAAAGCCCGTATACACAGTGTGTGTGTGTGTGTGTGTGGTAACATCAGCACCCTGCTGCTCTGGTGGGGCAAATACATGAAGACTTTACATAGAGAGGACATTGTACTAATAATAATGAAGTGAAGTACACACGCTCAGATTAATTCTAACAATATTAGTCGGACGGGAACAGCAACAGAAGAACCCAAACAAGTTTCTAATTCAGATTTCAGTCAAATGCATTCAGTTTTTTGGTGCACTAAACAAAATGTATTATCAAATGTTTTCCCAAAGTGTAAAAAACAGGACAGTGTTAATTTCAGCTCAACAGTCTGGTTTCATACCAGTGGGGATGGAAAACAAATCAGATGGTGATTGCAGGCTGTAATATAGAAGTTACTGTTTGTTACTGACACACAGTAACTCCATTAGTCTGAACAGTACGGACACCTGCACTATTAAAAGTCCACTGGGAGTTATACATTATTAATGTCCTCGATTATCCTTTGTTAGCTGGGGTAAATGTTGCTAGAGCGATTTATGCGTCGCATTAAATGTTGAATGCTAAATGACGAGTTTATATTTGCAACAGAAAGTTTATTCTACGCTTCCAAATGACTATAATAACAGTCCACATTGAAATGCTTCCCTGTAAAATCCACACATCTAGAAGCAACAGGAGCATTACTGTTTCTGGTTCGACTCCATGATTTCAGCTCGAAATCATGGATTTTGGTCATTTTCTTGGATGCTGTAGATTTTTTTTTCTAGTGCAGATTGCTACTGTCTGTGAAGGTTCATTACTATTTCTATCATAGTGTTCACTGTATTGCTGATTTTCAACCAAGATTTCCATTACAGGATGTTATGCTGGGGTAAACTACTCTATCAGCAATTTGTAAATGCATGCAGCCCAAAGCTATTGAAGCTTTAAGATGAAGCATTGCAATACTTTCCTATAGATTCAGCCTGTATTCTTTTTTTAAGCTTCAGCTTCTGTTAGTATCTTAAATGTAACTTTTTTACTATAGTTTATCAGAGAGACAGTTCAAACTTCATGTAAATGTGAATGTTGAATGCTTTGCTGTTAATAATGCCACCATGGCGGTTTACTGTTGTATTAATATTCTATATATTCCTATGTACGTCCCGACAGGTAAAGAATTTTGCGGTCATTTACCTAGTGGACATCACAGAAGTGCCTGACTTCAACAAGATGTACGAGTTGTACGACCCCTGCACCGTCATGTTCTTTTTCAGGTAAGGCACTCAATGTATGGATTTCAAAATATCAATATAATGTTACTTAAAGATCTCCTCCAGACATGTATTAAGTAGGGCTGGGTATCGTGGCCAATTTCCTAAATCGATTCGATTTCCATTCGATTCAATCTGCTCTTAAAT